AAGTACTTCTGAAAAAGTTAAGAGTTTGGATAATATGATTTTCTCGATACAGTGAGATAGGACCGCTATTGAGGAGGCTATTTGATATAAAATATCAACCATTGCAGTTATTATGACTATATAAACCTCCAAGGCCCCATTATTCTCGGATCGCTCTCATGGATTTTGGCACTCGTCGCATCACACAAGTGGGAGAAATGTATGCGAATCTGGCTCTCAACCGGCCTTCTGCAGGGTTTTCCATAGTCAAATCGAGAAGATTGTGGAATATTTGGAAATCTACAGGATAGAGTATCGAGCAAGGCTATCAACATGAATATAGTGGCAATATAAATACCGTTCAAATACATGGAATATCCCACTGAATCGCTAACAAATAAGAAGTCAGGGGATTGGTTACTTCTGTATAACTCGTGAAAGAGCTTTTTCAAATTTGAGCTGGTTAACAAATTTATAGGTCAAATTCATTTCGTAGTGCCAGCAGACTGTATGAGCTTCCAGCAGACCGAATATACAATGACCTCTAAATTACGCAGCGTCGGAAATTTAACACTAAATTCGCAACGCAGGATTGTTCGTTTGTTATCATTGAACAACTGTCTGTTTGGATAAGAAGATAGCGTTGCGTAGAACAACACATATTTTAGACAGTGTTCAGCGACAATGAAAAGATTCGAGTACAGACGTGTAATAGGAGAATTGGCAGGCCAAAAGTTTACTTAAAATGGACAACAAGTGGCTGTAAGTCGAAGTGGTTATGGTACGGGAAGTGATTTAGAGAAGTCCCTGGCTTTTAAAATTCACCTTACAAAAAATAATGAGGAGGAACTAAAAAAATCAAATATTTTGAGAAGGGTGTCATGGTTAGCATGGAGTGAAGGTTTTTTACATTACTTCTTCCATTGTAGAACACTGAATATTATTCTCTATGACCTAGAACATATTCTATTAATCTCAAAAACGTTAACGGGGTAATTTAGGATATTGATAATAAGAGTATTCTGCCATTACTGAAACCTGAAATGCCTGTTTGGGCCATGGGCGTTTGTTTAACTCAATCACAGTTTCCAGTTTGATGGTCACGGTTGTCTTCATGCTTTTGTGAGAGGCGATTTTTGTGGACTTTATTCACGTTAATTATAATTCTTTCGAAATCGTTACCATGAATGCCGAACAAGAACGACTCGAAAGGTTGGCTAAACTGAAGACCTTGGGCGAACAAGTCCGGATAGGCGGCAAAGGTACAGCTCGCAGGAAGAAGAAGGTCGTACACAAGAACGCGGCCGCCGACGACAAGAAGCTGCAGTCTTCCCTAAAGAAGCTTAATC